ACTGTTTCAGTGAGTAAAGATTACTTAGGAATCATTTTTCTCAGAAACATGCGAGTGCTACGCGAACAGGCGGAAGCCAGAGCAAAACGTGAGCAAGTTTTATATGATTGTAGTATATCAAGTCTATAAATTAAAGTATAAAAGCCTATATTGGTAAATATTGGTAATCAAATAAATTCGTTTTGTCATTCAAAGTAGGTCTAATAGGATTTTTTAAATTTCACGTAACACTGTTAGTGAAATTTTATTTTATAGGGACGCAGCAGCAGCATCAACAGAAAAAATTGAGGAATTTAAAACGTAGATGCTTAGCCTGTATATTCTTTAGACTATTAAGATCATTGATTCCTTTATTTAAGCCTATTTTTGTGTGGAATGCCATTGCCAAACGTGTCCGTTGTTGCCTATATATGTCGCTTAAAAATAAATATTTTCTGAGTGGCAATGTTGCCGTTGCTCATATTTCTTTTATTTCGGAGCCAACAGCCTCGTGAGCGAGGAGCGGAAATTCTCACCGCTCCACTCTGCTCACATGCTCTGACCTGAACTTTCCACCTCTGCCTATAACTCAGACCCTGTACAGCATCCAGTAATACAAGTCAACTACATGAACTATAAGATGTAAATATCGGTTTATATCATCCTCTTGAGGTGAGTTTCCTGCTGTGTTCTGGAGACACAGAACACACAACAGGAGGCCGTAACTCGCCCTTCCCTGGCCTCTTACTCACTTGGTGGCACCGGGCTTGACCCCAAGCATATCCCAGCTGTCTTTGCTACTACGGATCCTGCGGATGGTGTCAACTTGCTCTCTGGTGAAGCCCAGGCTGGGCTCTATTATGGGCCGTTTGCCCCCGTTCTCACACATGTCTGTGATAGAAGAAAAGAAGGCCTAGAGAAGACAATAAAAAAAAGAGTAAGAATAATGATTAAGAATAAAAACAGTCAAAATGTTGCAACATGAAGCTTGAGGATTCCTTTAGATTGTTACTAAAACTACCTACCATAATAGCTGAGTGTTCAAAATTATAAGCAACTGACTAAACATTAATTACATATTACATAATCACATTCTTGTGTGCGTTCTCATGCATGTGCACGCGTGCACACACACACACACACACCTCTACTCATATCTTTGTGGAGACCGTCCATTCATTCCTATGGGCAAAACCCTAATCCCAACAATGACAACCTTAAAAACAAATATTTTCATGTATCAGTGTTTCCCTAATGGCAGATAAATGTGTTTGTAAGTGTGTGTAGTTTAATTCCAGTAATTATGAGATTATACATGGGGTGGACAAAATACGGGAAACACTAGACAGAATATTAATATCAAAGATGTAATAATGCGGAGTAGGGGCACACTTCGACTTTTGTGTTTGGCATACTGCATGTCGTCGTGATTTTTGACTCTTCCCCTTGACACATTAAATAGTTGTGCAGTTTTTATAACTGATGCACCTGCAGCTCAAGCACCAACTATTTGACGTCTTTGGAACTCTGCTCGGGGTTTGCATATCAAAGTGCTAATTTCCTGACCTCTTTTATAGCTGACAGATACTGTTCATTGCCATTCAGCCCAATATGACTCACCTTAATAACTGTCTTTCTAATTGATTTTAAAATTACAGCTTTCATGGTGTGTGTTTGTGTGTGTGTGGCCATCAAATGTCCCCACAATGTGATAAAAACCTGTTATTTTGGCGTTGTTTTTTTGACGACCATTTTTCGGTCCCCACGAAGGGAAATTCAATTTCATAAAAATCTGTGACTGCAATCAAAAAATTTAAAATGCCAAAAGCCTTGTATTTTGTTTGTTTAATTATGGTTAAGGTTAGGGCTGGGTAGGGGTTAACCCTTCCGTTACATTGAATCTATAATGCACATTCCTATTACAGAGTATATTACTATGAAGGTTTTTTAATGACTGATTTAATAAGTTTCTGCCCAAAGTTAAATGTGTTGTGCTACCTATTCTGTGTACTTAAGCCAATGTTTTTTTTGTGCTGTGTGCCGAATGACCCAGTTCATGAAAGGCGAATACCTATATTATTAAAGATTAGTATGGTGCTGTGGATGCTACTCTTTCTATGCACAAGCTACTAATTTCAGACAATTACAAAAAAGGTGCTTCAGTAATCTTACAGATTTTCTTTTCAGAAAATACCTTGAGCCATTAAAAATAGGTATTTTGAAATGATGTATTATTACAAGTACAGGTACACTGAAATGCTTCTTTTCACATATCTTAACTTCAGGAAGTTAAGGGTCTAAGATACATGTAACTATTCTGCCAAGGATGGGACTCAAACCAACGACCTTCCGGTAAAACCTGCTGAGCCGCACACTGGCCCGCAAGGACAATACAAGATAAATACATAAACAGGTTTGGATTCAACATTAGCAGGGACCAAATCAGCCCTAAATCCCCCGCCCGCCTAAACACACATTCCCACGACATTGACCGGAACATGTCCCTACCATCCATACTATTTGTTGAAGCCAGACATGCATTATGCTACCGGTCTGTACAACTGAAATTTACCTGAAACATTTCATTGATCCCCTCTCCACTCTGTGCTGAGGTCTCGAAGTAGAAGAATCCCCTGCTCTCTGCCCACAGTCGGCCCTCGCTCTCATCCACCACTCGTCGCTTTGCCAGATCCACCTGCGAAAACAACACAACTGATGATCCTGCTACTCTGCCATAAGGAACAATGGAGCATTATAGGGAAGCCTGATGAAAGGCAAAATGCATCAGGAAGAATATGCAATATAAGAGAGAATCACCTGTTACACTGCAAAAACAAAGGGCAGTGATCTTTGGTTAATCAAATAGATTTCAGTACTAGATACACTACACTGTTATTCTAAGACTTTACCATTACGCAGGTATTTTCAATTTGTATTTGGTATATGTGCCTCCTGCTTGCTCTTCTAACCATTGACCATCTCTTTCATCTCACACTGTCAATAAGTTTTGATCTACAGGCATTAGATGGACAATGAACAATGGAGAACCTTATTAGCGCACACTACAAAGACGATGTTCTCCATGTTCGTTTGAGAGCCAATCTCCTGCTTCATTTCATCCAGCCAGCCGTCCAGGGAGTCAAAGCTCTCCTTCAGCCCCACGTCGTACACCAGGATGACTCCCTGGGAGTCCTTGTAAAACTCATTCCGTACCTGCAGGACCAATGCCAGGGAACAAAATGGATTCAGGGACATTTTGGCTGACATTCTGAGACTTTCAGGTCAAAGACAAGATCATAGCCAAGGAGTCAATACAGTTGCGTGGGGGGGGGGTTTGACCAAGGCTGTAATTATAATATATATTATAATTACATGTCCCCCCTAATATACATTAGAAATATGGCCTTGGTCAACGGACACTAACTTTAGTGTTAAAACAGCACAACTAAACTATTTACGAGCAGATCATTCCACAAGTAACCTCAGTTACATTATCCATTGTCAACGGCATTCCACTATACCCCACATAAAAACTTTGACCAACAAAGAGATGTTAGCCCAGACAAAGGTAAATGCATTGGCCCAAAGAACCTCAGGGCTCAGTTATTTTCAAATCTTTGGTGTTGAACATTTCAGTTCCCGAAACTGCAAATCCAGACCAAGATTTTGTTTTTGACAACGAGCGGAGTACTCTGTGACTGTGACTCTTCATGCAAACCTTTGTCTGGATTTGTACCTTGTGGACCTGAAAAAGCACAACACTGGTAATGTGAGAAAATAACTCCAGGTGACAAAATATAAAATAATTATTTTGTAGATATGGATGGTCTATTAACTGAGACAGCATGTCTCTTAGTGTACATTATATATCATTTCATACTTAGATATGTAATGTGCTTACATTTTAAACATTTTATTTATCTAGCTTTGTGTAGTGATGTACAATTTTTAGAGAAAGCAGTAAAATCACACCGCTGACTCAGGGATGTGAACCAGCACCCTTCAGATCTTAGGCACAGCCTCCCACCATGCAGAGGCACATACCTTAAGTGTATTAACATCAGACATATCCTCTAAGGTCAAGTCACCTTCACCTTAATTTCACAAGCAAGTCTGCATAAAACTACACCAGAATAGTAAAGGTATCTCAAGGGAAAAATGTGACCAAAAGACAGCCAATATCAGCTTCATAGTGCTGCTTTAGGCGGTAGCAACGTATCATGGCAGCCTTGAGAACAGCCAGGCAATAAAACAGTAACAGCTTCAGACTGACCTCATAAAAGAAGGGATGCCCTGCCATGTCAAAAATATTGACTTTCATTTCACGGTCCCGAACTTGAACTCTGATTAATTGAGAGAGAGATAAAAAAAGGGTAATTGAATTATGACAAATAAGTGGTTATGCACTGCAATAGATCAACTGCATGACTTGATTTTATTTTGATTATCATAATACAATCCGTAGCAATAAATAAAAAATGTTGCTAGATTGACTGATCGATAAAGTATATGGATTTTGAGATAATATTTATTAAATTAAAAATTGAACTATTAATTCATTTAATTATAAATGTCAGAAGTATCTATTATGGATTTCAATAATATGGGTGGTAAACATGTATAGAATTCCCAAAAACAGAATTATCAATGATCATGCCAATGTCACTTCAAAAAGTTCAAACAGCCAACATAAATTTAGACCCTTCATTTTTATATTGCAGCAGTTTTTAAAATGAGACTTACTTTGTAACACCGTAGTCTATGCCGATTGTGGCGAGGTATTTAGGTACGAACCTCTTTTCACAGTACCGTTTAATAATGCAACTCTGCAAAGACAGCAAAACATTTATATCATATTACCACTAAAAAGCAGTTTTATATTGCTGCAGATCTGGCGATATTGGTTAATTACTGTAAGACAGCTTTACCTTTCCCACCTCTGCATTTCCCAAGCTGATGACTTTCACACGGAGGGATTTAGTTTCCCGTCTCTTCTGTAAATTGGTCTCCATGGCGCTATATTAGACACGTTTGACATAAACTACGGGAAACTAGCTTAGCTGAACAGCTCGCCGACTAACCAGATCTAACTAGCGAGGGAAGCAGCCATCTAGCCAGCCCAAATAGCGCTCTGTGTCTGTAAAATGCTAAATGACTCGCTAACGTTACGCATTAAACAGTTTCATTGCAGCCGGCTACATTGTCAGTAACAGCAGCGTTAGCAATTCTTCTCCGTTTATGTTTTCATCTGCTCTCCCTTTTTGCATCTCCCGATTCACTGAAGCAGATTCAACACAAATACTTATAAGTAACGATAACCATTCCCTTTTTTTTCAAAACAAGCACACAAATATCCTTTGATTTGTTTTCCCCAAAAATATTTAAGATCACAATGTTTATTATATTTATTATGATAAATAGAATAACAATTACGCAGTGGATATCACAGATTCGCCATTAGCGCAAGTTGAACCCCTAATAAAGAGAAATAAATAAAGGCAAACAACTGATATTATTCTACTTTTAAAAACTAAAGAAAACAAACTAATAAGCCTAGAGTGGTACACGAGACCAATAGAATCTATAACTCTTAACATCTTTTTTACAGCAAATATTTACAGTCGTTGGCGACACCATCTGCGGAGGGCACCAAAGTGCAACCGAGGTTAAGAGAAAATGTAAACATTTATTAAATGGCTTTATCTTAGCCTGTTGTTTTTTTACATTTACTACAATTAAAGTCTGGAAAATTTGCAACATACACCTCCCATACTTCCATACTGACCCTTTTCTGCCTGTCTATCTTAGAAAGTTGTCATGTTTTTGTGAGTGGTATAGGTCTGCCCCCGGCTGGTGACTTAAACAAATACATTTTAATAAGTCATATTTCTAGAACACAACTATTTGTATTTCTGCGCCTACAACTACTTACTTAGTACAGGGTCACACTGAGTCTGAGTCTGAATCTTATCATAGGATGCATAGGCGCCCTAATGCTACTCTAGATCATCGCAGGGCACAGCCTCACGCACGACGAACAATTTATTGATACGAGTTCATTTAGCCGCATGTTTTTGGACTGCAGGTGGAAAATGGGGGGAGACCTCCATACAACGAACTGGGCCAGAAATCAAACCCACCGTGGTAGAAGGGTGAGACTTATCCGGTAAAATGTAAGAGTTTGTTACATGGGATTCTATTAAATATTGCTACACCAAAATATTTTTTATACAGAAAATATATATATATATACATATACTGTAGGCCTATCTTGTATTAATATTTGAGTTTTCGTATCAATGTTTGTCTTAAATCCCATCAGGGTGTCCCTGGTTTTTGCGCCCTCTGCTGGCTGGGACAGGTGCAGACCACCCCCACACAACAGTATATTGGATAAGAGGTTGGAAGGTGAATGTGTGGCGGGTTTGTTTTGTGTAGCAACTTTTATTTTGATATTCCCTCACGGTTCTTATAAACGTTATCAAAATGTAAACATCTGTTTCTTTGATAATGCAATTTATTTTTCCCCATGGACCGTTCGTTTACTAATTCCGCGGCTTTTTATAACGAGCTTAACGTGTTAGCGGTACATCACCCCTGGGAGTCCAAATGTGCTGAGAACCAAAGCTCATGCTGATTCTTCGCTGTGAATCGATAATGAACCGGGCTATCGTAGGCTTGTCCCCCCATCCGGAGTGAGAGAGAGAGAGAGAGAGAGAGAGAGAGAGAGAGAGAGAGGGGAGCCTGCCTGTCAACGCTGACGCCGCTGTTCCCAAATACTCCCTGTTGTTTTTATTATTGAGTTCTTCTGACCGAAGGTCACTCCGGGGATCTCCTGGGACCAAATGCGTACAGCACAGCAGGCTTCAAGCTGCTGGGTGAGTTCTGGTCCCGAGATGGTGGCTGAGCATCCCGGTTGCCAGTGTGTACTGGAGCGATGCCCGTGTTCACCCTGCTGGGCTCTCACAGGCTGCTGCTAGACTGTAGCAATCTGCTGGACCGTTGTGTTGGCATCGGTGAGCGACCTGACACACTGATCTTGTTTTTCCCATGCTCTAGCAAACTGTACAGGTGATCCAAGTTAAGGCAGGAGCATAAGCAAAAAGGAGAGCTGTGTACACGGTGGGCTGTGCAATTTGGATACAGAATATTGTCAGTTTTGCAGTTTATAACTATATAATACTGTGTTTAAACAGTTTAGTACAGTAGCACTATGTTTGAAGTTTAATCACATCGAATCGAATAAAGGAAATAAAAATAAGGATCTAAAAACATAGTAATAAAAAATACAAAGTCTATATGCCACCCAACTTACATATAAAATCCAGCTCCTGTGCTTATGATATGTTTATATCCTTTAAAGAATTCAACTTAATCCACAATACTGTCATCAGATTACTATCTCAGAATAAAAGGGGACAATCGGGCTGCATTCCCATAAAGCTTCAGGTGACGTTGACATTATGAGATATGCGCTTCTGTGACAGGCCACTTCGATGTTCTCTTGTGTCAGCATTTTAAAGTGTACCCGGAACTGTGTCCACCGGGTCCGTTTTAAGAATTAAATTAACTAAGCTGTGTAAGAGTTATTGAGAAATGTAATATAATTAACAATAATACAAACTGGAAAATGTGATTAAACCATTGGGGAATTAATTAATTATTAGAGAAGCATATTCAGTTCAAAGTAGGGGAGCCAAACTGAAATTAGATAGGGGCATGCAGTGTTGCAATTTTTGGCTATAGGTTTAAGGATAAATCGCTGGTTAGGGCTTTATTTCTTTATGTCTGATTCGTATAGAAATGTATGGTAACATCGATCCACTTGAAACGCATGTAAAGAACTGAGTAGATCAAAAGAAAGCAGGTGCTAAGACCATCTTATAAGAAGAGATTGTCCACCCAGCAGTATTTGGAGCGGTGTAAGATTTCAGGTTTCATGCCAGAAGCACAGCAGCGACTTAAGGCTTGATTTAAATGGGTTGATGGAAGATCAGATAGAAGGAGTGACTAATTTCCCCTCCTATTTCTCCTTCTGGTGAAGGAGCACTCCTCATCTCAGCTCCTCCGTTTGTTGGCTGTATTCAAACACTGGGGGGGTGTGTGTGGCTATGTGCCGGTTAGGGAGGGAGCGCACGAGCGCGCGCGTGTGTGCGGTGTCTCTTTAGGCAGAGACCACGTGTGCGTCTGTGTGTGTGAAATCACCGCTGTCCTTCAAAGGCTAAGCTCTCCGCGGCGCAACTGGGACAATCCAAGGTCATTTCAGTGTGATCACACGCAGGGTGCTTGGCGGTGTGATCGCGCGCGTATGTGTGTGTGTGCGTGCATGTCTCCCGAGCGTGCGCATGTGTGAGCGCCTCTTCGGCTACAGCAGAGGAGCTCGAGTCGAAAAGCGGAGGGAACTTCGCCTGCATTCCTGTCGATGTATGGTAAGGACAGTTTTCATCAGTGTTCATCAGTAGATGCTTGCATGTTTCATCACTATAGTTTGAGTTTCTTCACTCTCCTCTATCAGTTCTGAATCACTGTTAAAGCTTTCCCATCAGCGAGATTACTTACGTGTCTATGCTTTTGTAATAAATTGTGTTGTATTACCTAAGTGCTAAAATAATGACATACTTCTAAATAACAGTCAGTTTTTAAAAATAATATATTTGCTTGATTATTTTGTAATTGATAGAGACGAATATCTATTGTCACATAGCAATATATGTGATCTTTTTATTAAGGTATTTAAGCTGCTCAAAACTAATGCCTTCTCTGCTTGCCTACGTAACATGTCTGAGCAATAACACAAATTATATTACAGATTTTCCCCTCTGTGTCAGCATTTCTGTAGTGCGATTCCTCATGACAGTTTGAGTAATGCGCCACTTGCTCTGTGCTTATGAGTTACACTGATGTTGTGATTTTACGTTCCCAACCAGTAACTGCTTTCTTCCGTGAAATTCCAAAGTGAGTCTTGTTCTTACAAACTGTCTTTCTGTGTTGTAGCCTCCGTTCCAATCTGTCTTGTATTGAGGTCAGGCCAGAGAAGCTCCATCAGTAGGTTTGAGAATGAATTTCTTTTTTTTCTGGGTGTACAGTATTTTATTTTCCACTGAAATGGAAGAAATTGGAAACGTGATTTTCATCCCTTTGTCAAATAATGGCATAGGAGTGCGGAAAAGTCGGCAGCCCATTTGCGTTGTGTATTTGCCTATATTCCCAAGTCTGTCGTACCATTTGTCGCATGTCCGGCTGACAGGTAATTATTATTTCGGGGTGACAGAAAATATGAACCTGGGTGAGACCCAACTGGTGTGTGTGACCCGCCCCCTTCGTGCCTCTGAACCTCCTGAAGAAAGCAAACCTGTCACTCTGTCACTCAGCCCTGGAGATTAACTGAACCCTTTGGTGCCGATTGCGATCCTGAAAACAGCAGCAGTGACACACGGGATGCTGGCATGCTTAGAAAGCTGCCCCACAAGAACGGTCTAAAAGTGACCTCCTTTATCCCCTCTCCATCAAAAAGACTGCACTCGACTGTAGTAAATGTTAAAATCATTAGGTTTTGCTCGCTGACTCGCTGACAAATGTCTTCTTTAGCACACAGACCAGATTAACCCCACTGCGTCTTCATAGTCATGTTGCAGATCTGTATCACATTACTAGACTTTTGATTCTCTACAACCTGCTATCTCATTTATTGACCCGAACAAGCTACCACACGGTAAACGCAGAGATCCAGTGGCTTGATTACCATTGGAAATTAAATAGTCACATCCTGTTCCTCATAGTGTATAACCACACATATGTTAGCTTTTTTCAATTTGTTCACTTGTATGAATCTGACTGCTATATCTGGAGCGGTTCTTTTATCTCTTGACAGGAAGGAGGTTAATAAATGCAGGACTTTGCTGATGCATTCAGCCCTGGAAATTAGTTTTCCCTTGTCTTTGATTGATAATCAGCTTTCGCTTCCCCTCTTGGGGAATGGATGGGTTACTCCAATCTAGCTAATTGCCCTGGACAGAGGTAGCAGACATGTGGAGTATTTTGCTTTAAAGGGATGAAAAGTCTGTGATCCACATTCTTCCAGCCACTGCTGGCCTCCCTGGAGTATGTTCCTGCTTTCCGTTGCTGATGACCGGAATTCTTTTCCTGCTGTTTTGGCTTCCTGTGATTCCGGTGAATGGATTACCTCACTGTTGAAAAGTTTCACTGATTATTAATAGCATCGCCTTATCAGCTTTAGCTCCTCCATAATATAAATCATGCACATATATGCTGGCATATATACAGGGGCGGGGCTAAAAGGGTGCTAGCCCCGGCTGAGAGCTTATTGGCTCTTGTAGTGCCCCCTCTCCTGTCACTCCTCGATTCAAAATATATCATTGGCTAATGGTAATGTTGGCCCCTCTGTATGAATTATGGCCTCTCCTATACCCCCTACAATAAACGAATCCTCAAATCACCCCTGGATATTTCACTTTGGACATAATCCAACATTAATAAGTAACCTTACAGTAGAATAACTCAGATGTGTCACACTGTGGTACATATAATCATTCCCAGGCATGTGTAATCAGATCTAAAGTAAATGTCATTTATCTTCTGCCTCCTCTATTTAGGAAGCTCTTCATATATTTACTTCTTGCAAGTAATGCTTTTGAAGTATAGTTGAGTCACAGAAGAACAATTGCATCAAGTAATAATGCAATACTATGGTTCACTCCTCACAGCATTCCACAATGATGGCGATACTGGTTTGTCTTTGACAGATGATACGCTTTTGTACATTTGCATCTTAATTTGTGCCTGGATTTTATTTCATTTACATAAACAGCACATTGTGTCATTGATGGCCTTATCTTTCTGAACCTTCTGAACCAGCAAATGCTAAACCACGGCATGTGGTGGACTCTCAGAAACCTCAGAAACCTCGTAACTCATTAAACATCGGTATGGGGCTGAGGGGCTGGTTAGCTACAGCTACTTCATGCTCGCCCTCTTAGAAGAAAAGAAATTAATATTAAAAATTCCAAGTGGACCACACAAAGATACTAAGAGATATTGACTGTGACAACAGAGTGTGAATTGAAATGTCTTGAAATTTTTTTTGAAGGGGACAACCCTAATAAAGGGTTTATGAATAATTTATTCTGTAATCCTGGGTTATTCCCTGCCTTGCGCACATAACTTCCGGGATAGACTGCAGACTCCCATGACCCTGAGTAGGACAAGTGGGTACAGAAAATGGATTGATGGATAAATGGTTTATGATCAGGTTATTAATTAGCTTATTAATAAATTGTAACATTTTGTAAATTATTAATAAACAATTATGAACAAATTCGAACAGTTTTTTGAGTTACTACCATTTATAAGTGGCAAAAGGCTGTCTTATTATAAAGTGATACCCAATTTTTCAGCAATTGTGTGGACGTTAATTAGGGTGCTCATGCACAACATTGCTTATCCCACGGTCATGGGATCATTTAATGAGAAGTAGCCTTCAGAGGAAGGAATGTACTGAATAGTTGGCGATGAGGGTAACCATGTTAAACAGAGAATTTTTCATATAGTTGTGATGTTAAGGACAGTACGCTGTTCATTGAATGCAGTCTTTTTTTGGTGAATGCTGAACTGAACAAATCGGTTTGCCACTAATTAGCGTGAACATGAGTATCGTTCTCTCTGCCGAGAATGAACGATGCTCACACACAAGAAGTAGCAATAATAGAAAAAATTTAGCTCTCATATTGTTGTATGAAGTTTGATGTATGACGTCGCTGAATGGTGCATTGGAAAATTATTACGTGTTGATGTTGATTTTCTCGCAGGTCCCTTGTCTCCATGCGATCCGATGCGCTGTTTGTGACACTAATGATTTGTTTATATCAATAAAGTAGACTCCAAGAGCTTTCTAATGGTACGTGACACTAGTGATATTTTAATTGCTGATGAGAAATTTCATTTTGGATTCATAACAACTATAACCATAAGACATGAATGTGAACTATAGTTCATTTTTGAGACTATGAACCAAACTTTAATTAATTCCGATTAAATGTGTACTTGCGATTGTCTGTAAAGTCTGTAAACACGCTGGTGAAGCGGACGCAAAATCACCCTCTGTGTCTTTACCCCGTGGGAGCTCCTCCACCATGCCACAGATCAAGGTTTCTCAACCCAGTCCTCGGGGACCACCAGACGGTCCACGTTTTTGCTCTCTCCCAATTGGCAGGGAATTGGGGGAGAGCAAAAACGTGGACCGTCTGGTGGTCCCCGAGGACCGGGTTGAGAAACCCTGCCACAGATCATTCAGATCTTGAAGCAGAGGGAACTGCAGTGGATGTTGATAACAATCGGATCGGATCGGGGCGCCTGTGACTGATTTAGTTTGGCAAAGCGTGGCATGCTGGTGCATGTCCTGCCCAGGACGCAATTAGGGAACCAATTTAAGGTTGTTAATTATATATTTATATTGTTGTCTTTGTCTGAATGCATCTGAGAGCGGTTTGCATTATACGAGGCAGCCGTTCAGGTGCACCTGCCTAGTAGCAGCAGACGTGCATGCAACCGCGAATGACCAGCCACAGGAAAATTTACTGAATTTTAGCCTGTTGTAAGAAAGTGGAGCACAGTGACTCAGTTCAGCTGTCAAGTTGGAACATTTCTACCCTCTCTGTCCATTTCACCAATTTGTACAGCTGAAGCAAGAACCAAGTTAGGATCCTTGGCAAGCCTACTTGCTATCATACCTTCTTCCCTTCATATTCACCCAAGTCTCAGGGGGAAAAATTAAATTAATTCATATATATAAAATAAATTAAGTGTTGGGATGGTTATCTTAAAGTCGTAACTGTCGTCTTTAAGGAGCAATAGGAAATAATAGAGTGGAATGTATAGTATGAGAGAAAGCACAATGTCCACTACAGTGGACAAAAATTAATTGCTATGTTTCAGGAGGATATAACGCTCAGGTTTACAGTACACAAGAATTCCTTATCATGCCTTTCTGAGCTTAGGTCAAGTGTGCTAGATAACTACATGCTCTAATTTGAACCTCCACTATACAAGTATTCAGAGCTGGTGAAATTCAGAAATCATGAATGAAGAATGTGAAATGAATTGGCTTAATGCACCATAAGTATTTTGATTGGTTTCATGTTCTTTAGACAAAGCTGACATTTTCAAATTACAAGTAACTCATGATTAATTTCAGCCGGCCACTTTTGAACAAGGCTAGATGACACTTTGAGGCCATTCAGTAGATTATACAGAATCTGAATGGGAGTACTTTATTATCCCAGAGGAAAGTGTTACAGACTACACAGTACACAGCTATACTAAGACAAAAATAGACAATATGCAATGTTACATGCAACATTTTCTATATAAAATAAGTAAACATATGAAGATGGTCAGTTGGTAGCCCTAGGCGGCCGCCTATGTCACCTATAGGACTGACCTGCCATGACTTCAGAGGTCACGATATTCTAATATAATCTTAACAAATCATGAACCAACTCTTAGTTGATGTATTAATTAACCACAAAGTCTTAGCAGAGACTGAGATCTCCCCAGGTCCACCACCAGGTCCTTCATAGAAATGTTGAGCTGCCAGTGATTCAGGTCACACCATTCGACAATGTTGTCCAGAATGTCAACACAGATATCCGTAATGTCAGAGGTGTCAGTTGTCTGACCACCACACTACCCTCCCCCACCCCGCCCCGATATTATGATCTACCGAAATTCAATGTAACACACATTTTCCCTGGCATTAACACAGAAAATACCTCTTAATTATATAATGTCCCATTTCATATTTGCTTTACATATGAGGCAATAGTGGACTGAAATTATAACATTGGAATTTGCGGTTTCAGCAAAGACCTCAACTTCGCTAAAAATATGGTCAGGGTCTTTTTAAAACATACTCACTACTCTGCTGGTCTGTCAAATAATCCGTGGTTTGGATGAGCCAGCTTACCTTATATTAACGACCTGGTGCAAAAATCCGCAAGTGGTGATGTGGCCAAAGATGACACAAATTCACAGACATTGTGGTGTAATGTGTAAATTGTGGCACCAAGCAGTATCTGAAGACAGGAGATGATCTTCATAAGGTAAAGAGCAGAGAGCAGAACACATATGGCTGTTGCATATTTCCCTCATGCTTTTTTAAGCTGCAGTAGGCATTTCCATTCGAAAGCTGAGGATAGAAGATTTATAGATTTGGGAAGGAACTGTATAACTTTGAAGGAAATAAGCAAAAAGAGAAGCATTCCACTTGAATGGACTGACTTGCCATGCAGGATGAGCCCCTACCTTGTGCCCAGTGGTGGCAGGATTGATATTAACTCCCCTCCCCCCCACCACCACCACTCAAGATACTGTAGTGATTGGTAGATGGATGGATAGTCATATCCTACTGAGATGGCTAACCTTTAGTTCTCACTAATGATCCTGAACTGGATGTATGGATGGATGGAATGAACCTACAGGAAAAATGGTGTTCAGATTAGCTATGTTTTTGAATATTAACAATAATATTTACCTACATATATACCCTTTCAGAAGAATGAATGCAACATTATTTTGGGAAAATATATGTAGCAAATGCTTTCTCTTGGCTTAAAACTAACAGTCAAGAGGCATTTTTTTGGCAGACAAAAGAAACACAAAGGTCCATTTTCATAAAATGCCGTGTTTGTCTTAGATAATTTATTTCTCTACAATATTTATAATACTGAAGAATTCTTCATGGCATACTGGGTGAAAAAAAATCCCCTGAATGTAAAATAAGCACAGATTTATGTGAGTCATTTTAGCATAGTGACTAACTAATTTTCACACTTTGAAATGATGGTTCTCAGCTAACATTTCTGCTTTGATACCATACTGAGTGATCTGTATGATGAGCCTAGCATTGGTACTGGTTGTAAAATCCAAAGTGTGTGTTTTTGTGGTCTTCGTCATGAGGGGGACCTTCATCCTCACTGATGCTAACCTGTGAAATGAAAATGCTGATGGGCAAATAGCTGGACCAATGGCAAAACATGGCTTCTGCTGCATGTTCTCAGTGAAGCGTCTCAATGTACACTAATGTAGGCTTCCAGTGGCCCATCTTCGCTGCACTGGTGCCAGAGCAGAAAGCTAAGTTGTTTTTTTTTTTCGCTATAGATTCTGTTTTGCTGCATGTCTTTGTAGCTTGACACAGAACCACAGTGGGGTGGATAAAAATCATTTTCGTGTCACTGTTTATGATCACCAACAATGATGCATCCTCTCCGGTTTTACACCAGCTGGAATATGATGTTTATGATCTTTTTTTCTCTGTTTCTAGCTGTGTCATGAGCTGAGCTGATACACACAAATAAATAGAATAAATAAATAGAAAAATGTAAATAAGCCAACAGGGGGTCTACATGTGATTTACATACTGTAGCGTTTGGGGTCATGCATAGTTATGTCTGTTTTAAAAAGAAATTCTGGTTCCCCATTTTGTAAACTTTACGTATGTGTACATCTGTAGTTATTAATGTTTAAAATACACATGGCACCCTTCCTAGCCTTTCTAGTTCCCACTAGATCCAGAGCTCATATTCTCTCGGCAGAGCTAGACCCCACCATGATGCTTGTTGTATCAATAATTATAATGTTATTCCCAAAGGGTTACAAAATGATACAGTATAAAGGGCTCTGTTTTCTCCACGTGTGCACTTACATATTAACAGCACTTCTTCACAGCTCATCTGTACTATCCCGTCTTTTTCACTCGGAAATGTGAGAGATTAAAGTGATGTTTTCAAATGAGTGGGTGGAACTCCTAACAGTATGAACTACCAACTCCCCCCCTTCCCCCCGATGTCCCATGTTTGTGGGAAAATGGGACTATCCCTGTGGCTAGGATGCTTGACACTCCGGCAGTGGTCTCCTTGGTGACTCACGCACCCACCCACTGACTTCGTGAAGGCACGATTGTGAGGCGTGTAGGTAATGATTATAGCCTCACCTCCCACCACTGGAAAGCAGCGAAAGAGATGCTAATTTGATAAAGACTCTTATCTGGGACTCGCTCTGGAATCTTTTCTGCTTCAAGTACAGCAAGAAGAACAGTAAACTGCAGCATTTCACCAATGAGTCTTTGTCGTAGTCCTGTCACTTTTCTGTGTATCAGTTTTCTGTTCAAAGAATAATCGTCTGAGCACATTGGTCACCTGGTGTGTTTTTTTTTTATCCATTGTAAATGTTTTCCGTGGCAATGTTAGATAAAGACAGATACATCCGTGTGTGATATTACAGAAGTAAATTGGGTAATATGAACTTGAGTGTCCGCGCACAGGGATTTCTTTGAGGAAATTTGTGTTATCAAAGTCCAAAGTTGAGTTAATTCCTTTGCTACCTTAGATTTGCTGCTGTGAAGGTAAATATGACCTCGATAAGCCACAAGTGTTTTGTTTTGACTGAGCTTCAGCATGGATTCTTCTGTCGTCCAAGTACGATCAGTCCTGCTACAACGCATGATATCACACTGCAAATCTGTTGTAACGCAACTGATATATTAGTACCCAAATACAACACAACATGCAATCATATTTCAGTCAGAAGAAAAGCACTACATGAACTACAAAGTGATATGGTCTTACTGAGAATCACTACTAAAACACTACTAAAAACAGCTAACCAAGTGAATGATAGCAATGTCCGATTCATGAACCAATCGTTCTTTTGAACTGTTTGCTTGCAGTGGTTTTCAAATCGAAAAGAATCAAACGTTTTGATCATCCACAAATTGCACAGGTTAAAGTCTTAGATTCTAAAAATATTTATCATATTATCATATAAAAGCACAGAGCAGCCTTTTTAAATTCAGTTTAATTCGCCTAATACTATTTTCCCCATTGGATATATGCATTTCAGCGTGCGATTTTAGTGAGCGCGAGGTTTTTCAGGAATGCATTACTTGTGTTGCAACAGGACTGACTGTAGACACTCAAGACCACTGGACAGACATTCAGGCTTGTCAAATTCTTCAACCAAACCATGGAGAGACCTTAATGTTCATGATGACAATGCATCAGATAAAACAAGCACTGCCTTTGTTTGGCTGCTGTGTTGTAATGCAGATTTGTTCCATTAGTAATCATATGGTTGGCTGTAGACATTCTCTACAGAATTTATGAACTGCAGTTTTAAGTTAGCCACGTTTTTGACAAAATAGTTATATAGGTAATGACTGCTCTGATTAGCCTAATTGAAACCAATGAAGTAATCAAAGAGTAAAATCAGCTAGCAGCTGTCTTTGCGTGATATTCCCACTCACAGTGAGTTTTGAACATTCCTGTATCCCATCATTAATCAAACTATACGATACGTGTTTATTTGAGTAGTCAACAATTGTCCAACAAAGAGTTAATGCCACCACAAATAACACTTCACTGACATGCGTGTCCTTGTTTTTCCTCTGTATATTAAAGGGGTCTGTGGCTGCTGCGGGGCATTGAGACCCCGATACAAGAGGCTCGTTGATAACATCTTTCCGGAAGACCCAGAGGTAATTCAGTCTGCTGCCCATCAATTACGTCATACCACCTCGGAGTCTGGTCATTTTTTATGTCAGAGATCTTAAAAGCATGTTATTTTATTTGAAGTTGTAACATTTTAAATGCTGGCCTTCAGACAGAGTATTCCTCTACCATGTAATTAATGAGGAAAACCAGAAATTTGGGCTTGTCACCGTTAATAAAGTTGTCAGCCAGAAATAAATGTCTATGCTTTCGTTTTTAGCCCCAAAATTAAATAACCATCAGACCCAGCTGCACAAAATTACATATGGGTTGTAATTTAAATGGAGAAGTTGTTGATTTATAGAAACATTTCAGACAACTCTAGTTGTATTGGAGGATGTGGAGTAAAAATTCTCACTCCAAAATATTGTACGCATCACTGGACACTTAAAAATAATACTAAATATAAATCAGAATCTCAGGATGGTCCATTGCTTCATGCATGCCTCTGATTGGTTACTTACAGGGCCCGGTTAGCTTTGGATTCAGTTTCATGGGCCTGAGTTGAGTCTAGGCTGCCCACAGCTGTGTCAATAGCATCCCTGTTATCAGCATCCCAGCCCACAGGGTTTCTTTCTGTCTCTACCTGTATCCCTCACATTGCTTTCACAGACTACAAATCCCCATGACATGAGAGAAGAATTCATGGTCAAGGAAATCAGTAAAGCCATTGTATTTGTAGACACTGAATCGGGTGCAGTCTGTTGTTCACAAAATAATGGGAAGCAGTAGTATTTGTACTTGTTTTTTTATAATTCTCCTTCTCGCAGTGGTGAAGGCATCGGTTTTTCATTATACTTATAGTTGTTATGGGCTCCACATTAAGAAAAGTGTTCTTTTGATAGTATCTTTTGATACTATGTGTAAAGGTTTTGTTAAGGCCAGTGGACATTGTTGGCAACATACACTCACCTAAAGGATTATTAGGAACACCTGTTCAATTTCTCATTAATGCAATTATCTAATCAACCAATCACATGGCAGTTGATTCAATGCA